AAACAGCCTCCAGCGGTAAAGATAAAAACTACGCACGGGCGTTCCCAGAGCGATGGCCGCGGCCCGCCCGTGGGGATGCCCGTACGGTCTGCGGTTGGGCTGCGCTCTGCAGGGCCCTCACGCCCCAACCGTTGCATTGCAGCCCTGAAGGGAGTTACACGGATGATGCCAATCAGGAAGTTCGCAGCCCCCCGCAGCAACACGCGCATCCGACCGAGTTTGATGACGAGTTTGAAGACGATGATCCGTTACCCGCTATAGGACACTGCAAGGCAATATACCCGTTCGACGGTAAGGTTAACGACGTGCACGGCCGTTCCTTGGCTGTAAGGCGGGGGTTGTTTGTCAGAGAGGAGACAGGTGAAGTGACTGAAAGTAACTGAATTGTATGAGCAACTAGTTGCTCATAAGACCACTGGAAATATTTTATAAATCGCTGTAACTCACGAGCTGTACTTCGGTGCTGTTTTAAGATAAATATTAGCACAGCTATTGGCAAATACTCAGCTTTACAGATTGGAGTGGGTTTTTGTCTGTAAGCCTGTTTGACCATATGTTCTCTTGCACAGCTTTTTGCTTCTTCCTGTTTATATATAATCTGGAAACTATGCCCTGGGAAAAAGAGGACTCGAAATTCTGTCTGGACATTGAGACTTCTTTGCCTCTTGTTTTTCCCAGGTCATAATGAAGGCACTCTAGCAATGAAAGAAGGGGAAATTTTGTACATTATTGAGGAAGACAAAGGCGATGGGTGGACAAGAGCTCGAAGACATAACGGAGAGGAAGGCTATGTGCCAACATCATATATAGATGTAACGCTAGAGAAAAACAGCAAAGGTGCAGTAACCTATATCTAACAGTAAACGGGCAGCTTTCAGTTGTACGTTCCCCAGGGAAAATAGTGGCAAAATAGTAAGTTACACAGGCTCATGGAAAGCATTAGAAGCCAGAGATGGTCTGTTGTTTGCCATGTGAGTTTGCTCTAGTTTTTTTCAGAGATGACCACGCATCTTACACTGGTCTGTAATTTTGACCAATGTCTTCTGCTTTAACTGATCTGCGTTCCTGCTTTGCAAAGCACTTAATCCAATTCAGCTGTTAAACTGAAAAAGACCAGGATTCCTGCTTGTCCTGGAGAATACTCTGGCTTTATAGAGAACTGAAAAATGACTCACTTTTAAAGATCTCTTAAGATTTACTGTTCCCACTTCTGTGGCTTAAACTATATGCTTAAAACAGAGGGGTTTTTCCTGTAATAACTAACTGAACTCAGTTACTGAAAATTATTAATTTCCTTCCTTAGCGAACACTTGGCAGCTTTCACTTCTTAAACAGGAAAATGTTTTCTGATTCTGAAAGCCCAACAAAATACTCAGGAAAAAAACACTATGGTTAAGAAGGACAGAAAGTCCACTGACCTGCCTCTCCTTCCTTTTCAGTACTTGTAATGTAGAATGTTGTGTATTGGACACAACGTCATTGTTTTAACTCTGGATACCCTGAACACACACAAAAAAGAGCCCGCATGTAATGCTTGATGTCTTACTGAAACCTCTCTGCTCCTGGAAAAGGGAATGATTTTATATTCTTAATCTGTGCCCGTAAGCTCAGTCTTTGCATTGCATCGTTTAGTTTGAAACCAACGTCTTAAACATACAGTAATTCCCCTCGTTTAATCACTGAGAACTGGAAACTCATTGAACTACTTGATTACTAGTTCAAAAAACTCGCTAATCTAAAAGCTGGGGCTCGTAGAGCTAACGAGAGTTTGTGGCATTAAGTACAAGGCTAATGTGTAGCCACTGAGACTGGCCTGTTAGAACTGAGCACGCTTCTCTGTCTTCTAAAGGCCTTCAGTAACTTTGTTCTTTTCTTTTTCCTCTTGGACTGCAGGTTCCTGAAGCGGGTTTCTGAGAAAATGGGCGAGATCTTGAAGGAGGTTACATGCAGCTGCTGGGGGGGGGTGGGGTGGGTGGGGGTGGGGTGCTAGACTGGGAGGCCCAAGGGGAAAAGCTAGTTGCATGAATGCATGCAGACATACATTTAGTCACTAACATCTTAGCATCTCCATACATAGGTAAGGGTGTGTTACAAATTCTTCCATTTGTGCAGGAAAATAGAGTTCCATTACCAGAGTAAAAAGGCTACTGCTCCTGAAGTTGCTTTATTTCATTGTCCTAGGTTGTCCCAGATGCACAAGCTGCATTTTAGCTTGTGCTACGTGTTGGTTATATCTCAATTAAGCTCTTTTCCAACTCACTTTAATTGGCCGTCACTTAGAACCATATGTCAGTTATCAGTCTGCCTGTGCCACCTCCATGCTCGCCGTTAACCTCCTCCTGCATGCCTAGGACAGTCGGGCATGTCTGCATAACACACTGTCGTCATTGCTTGTCTTATTTTGTAACAAATCATTTTCTTCAAATATCTTCAGCGCTAGAGTTTCATCCCAGTATCCATGTATGCTGCTATAACTATACCACTGCAACCATCATTACATTCCAGTTTTTTGGCATAACTGATAAGAGACCATAACGTGTTTGTGTTGATTTGGGGAAATAGTACATCTCAGCTCTAGCCTACAACGCAATCCAGAGAAACTCCGAGAACTGTGGTCGCTCTTCAGCACTTCAGTAACCCGTTGTGAGCACTGAAAACCTGGAACACCGGAGGGATTCGCCACTGCAAGCTAATGACTGTTCTCAGAAGTCAACCACTTGCCATTCAAACGCTGCCTTAAACTAAGAGTGCCTCAGTCTGTTGTTTGCCAACACTACCCTTACAGTATCCCCCAAAGGGCTTTGTGTCTCAGCTCCTTTCACAGTGCTGCAGCTGCTGAGGTAGCCACGGTAGGTGTTTTCTAGAGCTCTGCTTTACTGGATACATGGTGCGTCATGAATTTTATACATTGAAGCGTGTATCTCTTCCTTTGACTTTAATATTTTTTTAAAAGATTTTTATGGGAACTGTCTTTTAGTTTTCCACTAGGAAGTTCCAGTTTTAATTACGGCAGTGCTAGGCCATTTCCAGGCGATGCTTCATTGTATGGACCAGTTGAAATTTGAGTGATACTTCGTAATGATCTATGTGCACTTTTACTTGTAAACAATTGAAATTTGGATATGTTTATACGTGTAAATATAGTTGTCTGCAGTGCCCCTATTGCTTATGTTGTCTTGCCTCCCCTTCGTGGTTCTATTAATAACTACATCGTATCTGGTTTATTAGGGCGGTAAGAATTAGACTAGAGATGTTGGGGGAGGGATCCTTGTATCAAAGCAAGCTTGTCAACCCAGCCACCTGCTGCTTGGGGAAATGAAAAATAATCAAAACATCCTGTTTTTCTGGGGTCTGAAGCAATAGCTGGATGCAGCAGTGCTGGATTCTTTTTAATTTCAGTGTTATTAGGAACTGTACTACCAGTAAAACCGAATTTGAGTGACTTGTGTAGAGGTTTATTCCTTTTGTTATGTATGCCACTATTACACAGCTTGACCTAGTGTATCATGGGGGCCATTAAACTCTAAAGTTTAGATTTTTGGAGCTTGTATACAGGGTTATTTATATAATTATGTGACATTACTCAATACTGACGAAACTACTTAGGTAGTTTTTTGGGTTTGGGGGTTTTTTGGGGGTTTGTGGGGGGGTTTTTTGTTGGTTTGTGTTTTTGGTTTTCTGTTCTGTTTTTAAATCTAGTGCTTTTTTATTTTGAAGTTAGAGAAAAGGAGGAAATGTGATCTGTGTATTTTCTGCTCAAGGGTCTGTGGTTTGCCTGGCTAACAGCCTTGCAGGTCAGTAATAACACTTCCTGGTTCAGGACTAAACATTCTTTTCACACTACTGTTTGTTTCTCTAAAACCAGGATTTGCTTCCTTTGGAGGCAAGTTGCTTTCGTGAGGGATAGTGCAACTTGTATGAGGGTTATTAAACATAGGAAAAAAAAACATTTGTACTTGCACAGCTAGTTATAAATCACTTATTCTAAATTCTGAACGTGAGTTGTCTTAAAAAAAAATCTTACATTTTCCAGTAATTTTTAATCCTTTTTTGTGCACATGTTGATTTCCTAAATGTTAAATGCTTTGTTTAAAAATAGTGTTCTCTGTTGAGAATATTTTCATGGAATAAAAAAATCTTTTCATGGTCTAAGTAATTAGCTTCCCATTTGTCTTCTGTTAAGATTGACAGGGAGATTTTCAGCATGAAGTCTGGAAACTCCCGTTACGGTGGCAGAACCTTTGCTACGACTGTAGGTGGGGGGGATGGATAACACCCTTTTGGTGCTGGTTCTGTGGTTCACCTACTCGAGTGCTTTCAAATGCTGTAAGTGACATCTCACTCCAGAACGAGGCTTACTGACAAGGAGCACATGCAGCAATAACCGTAGTTCTTGCTTAAATATTTACACAACTTCTGAGGATAATGCTTATACACCAGTTCTGTATGTGACAAAGTGGAATTTGCTGCTCCAGCACTCTTTATATAAACACCATGCACGCTGATTTCCTATGAAAAGTGCTAACAGCTTATGCTTTGTCTTCATCCAAAGGAAAAAAAAAACCCCAAAAAACTACTTACCAAAGTGATTCACCTCAGTAAATGAAGCAAGTTTAATATATACATACACCCACACTTACTCATAACTGAAAGCATTTTAATTATCTGGAGTGTTTGTTCTTGCCATTTCATCATTCATTCCTGGCAGCACAGCTGTGGTGCAGGCTCCATCAAAAGCCAAAAAGTACTACAGATGCTGTCTCAAAAAAAAAAAAAAAAAAAAGCAAGCCTAAGTTGTCCCAACACATCCAGAACTCATTTCCTACTTCCCTAGGTGCGGTGAGATTTGAGCCTTCTGTTGCGGTCACAGATAAAGGATCATTTCTGCAACCTGCAGTACTTCTGCCATCTGCAAATAATTTTGTGTAAAGATACACTTTAATACACAATTCTATGTACAGTCGTTTCTGTTCATTAAAGGAATATTATACAACAAATTTTCTGCAGTGTCACATACTTAATCTATCATTTTATTTACACTGTTTGCTTCATTTTAATATTACGATGCCAATGCCCTTGCTCCTGGGCATTACCAAAACATTGCAACTCAGGAAATGCAAAAAGCTGTAAGACTCTCTTACAGGGACAACCTAACTGTTCAAAGGGATTATTAAATGACTTGGTGACACAGTAAATAAATAATTCTTTGCTTCGTAATCATCAGTAGTTTTAACAGAAGTGTGCATTGTGCAGTTAAAAGTTCTAAACATCGTGTGAAACGCAGGAAGTTTGTGCAGTACCAAACTGCCATCCAAAAGCTAGGGCTATTTCAAGTATATCATTTAAAGAGTGGTGACAGAGTCTTATATACTTAATAGTTCCACCTGCTTCACTGGAGGAGGTTCCAGTTTTCGTGAAAGTGCAGTTAAAATCTGGCTGAATTTCTCGTATCTTTCACTTTGATTAACTTGGGCTCCTTTGCTGCCCCAGAGCAATCTCATTTGAAATTCTGTCTTGAAGATCTCGCTCATCTCTTCATCTGGCTGGAAACCTAAAGTGAAAAGAATCCCACAATGTCAGGCAAGGTTTTTACGCAGAAAAAAATTACTTTTAAAGCGTATTCCCTCCAAAGAAGCTCAGCTTTAGCCTGCTGGGTTCCTTTTGCACAATGATTCCAACAAGCCAGTCAAACAGTAAAAATCCTTTCCAGCTGTGACACTCCAGTAGCACGCAGTGGCTCTAGGGACACGGGCTCAGTTCTGATGGTCAAGACCTGTCCTTGTAGCCTGACCTTAGATACAGTTCCTGGTGTCTACGTGCTGCCTGCAGAAGTACTTCCATTTCTCTCCCCTCCCTTAACTTTTTCACCCCAAGTTTAAAATACAAAGTCACATTATTAACATGTTGCTGCTTGCGGGCTGCAAGGGGTCAAGATCTCAGTGTTTTGCTTCTTGTGCTGCCATAAAGACTCTTAGGATGACGGGGGGTGGTTTATTTGCAAAAATCGGAGTAGGAATTTTAAACTGTAGAGAAGAGAGGAAGTTCTCCTCGGTCCTCACTGTACATCTATTCGGCTGCTAGGAGGGTCAGCATATTAAGTAAGTCATGAGAACTTTTACGTTTACCAACGATGTACGCTGCGTTGCTGACTGGAGAACTAGAACGATGAGGAGTAACTTACTGCCTGCTTTTAAACAACATGGAGGACGTCCTCCGACGGAGGTTCTCGCGGGACATTTGCTACCACCTCAGCTCCCATGAAAGAGGGGAAGAATTCCTTGCACTGACTTTTAGTGGCCCTTGGGCAGAGACCTTATTCTTCAGACACGACCTGCGCGTTCTGTTGACGTGCAGCAGTTTCTCCTACCAGCGCTCCCTACCTGCCAGCAGCCGCTCCGCCGCCGAGCTGTACAGCGCCGCGTCCTGTGCCATCTGGCGAGCTGCGGCCAAGTGCTTCAGCATTATTTCGCAGCTTTGGTCAGTGCTTTCCCACAGGTCCACGCCTTCAAAAACGACGGCCTGTCGCTCCATCAGGGTGATGAGAGGCATCAGCAGGGGCACTGTCACGTCGTTCTGTGGAGCACTGACCGTCTCTGGGGTAGACAGAAACAAACAAACGAATCGTATCACCAGACACTGTAAAACCTGCCAGTTGAAGAAGGTACTGCAACTGCAGTAGTCTTTTCAAAGTTGGAAACTACTACGTGTCTTCCAGCTTTCAAATGAACACCTTCCCTCAGGGTACACCTGTCCTACCAGTTTCCAGTGAAGTGGCTGGGGGAGAGGCCAAGACAAATTACTGTGGAAAACTGTATCTGCTACAGCAGAAGGCTCTGCTGAATTATTGGACAGTGGCACAGGGATTGTAAACACATTGAGAATCTGGGTCATTCCACTAAATTCTGTGAGGCTAAGAGGTTTTCCTTCCCTACCCCTTCTCTTGGAGAAGTGTTATCTCTGCCTTGCACCCCTTTGGAGACTACAGCTGCAAAGGATCTGACACGCACGACACCTGACACGATCAGAGGACAACTTGACTACCCCTTATTTGCATTTGAGGGTTCATCCTCTGATGTAATAGGCAAAGCAAATAAAAAGCAAAATCTGCCAGAAGTAACTTCCCTCTGAGGAAGAAGAAGTTTTTGCCCGTCTTTGAGGCAGGATGATGCAGAGTGTTTCGGTTTCTGCTCCACAAAGAGGGCGTATGGGTTTGGGCAGAACGTTACGTTCTGCATGGGCACGTGCACACACGACACTTGGCTGGCAGACTTGGCCAGTTCCTGTAGTCACTCTGACGGGACGCACAGCCTTCGGAACAGCAGCTGCCTCGGCTCCCGACACAGGCAGGCAGCAGTGGGAGAGGCAGAAGACCAAACAGAAACCGGCGTCACTCATACTCACTGTTCCACTCGTCTTGTCCTTCATGCAAAGCTTTGCTGAACGGCTTCAGCTGTTTTTCATACGTAATCGCAGTCTGGGTATAATGATGTCTTAAAGAGGTCCAGGTTTGTTCTAACCTCGTGACCTGTTCGTACAAAACAGAGAACACCCATTATGGACTCCGCAGCAATTCACAGGAAAAGTACACTGCTAGCGACCAAGGTTCTGCTCTGATGATCTCTCTAGTCTTGGAAGAAAACGCAAAATAAAATAAATAAACCGCCAAACAACTCCATGTTTTAGAACATAAAGAGAAACAGAATTTTACCTGTGGCATTTCCAGCGCTTTCATAATGGCAGAAAATGCATACAGATCCCCCAGCGAGTCCTTCAGCTCCACGGCGACCTGGATGATCCTGTTTAACGTTGCTGCCCTATCTTCGAGACTTCCTGTGCAACCCAAGATATCCACAGCTATTCCTATTGCCATGGTATTGTGCCTGTAAGTGGAACCATTTATACCACTGGTTACAAATTATTAAAGCTCAGTTCAGAGGTGTATTTCAGTACCTTGGTGTGCCCAGCAAACTTACTGCTACCAGCATCTTTGTAGCCAGCGCAGTAATGCCATTACATGGAATATATATACATTGGCTTTGAATTTGTGTTTTAATACATTTAATAAATTTTTCTAAGATATTGCTACTATACAAAGTTCTGCTCAAGCAATGAATGAATGAACACTTTGAGGAAAACTGCCCCAATTGCCTTTGTCCTCCACACTCAAATCTTGGGACCTTCCCCCTCCATTTCAACCGAACTCCTGAAACCTGAAGCAGAGAAGCAGAAAAGGTAGATCAGGGATAGAACACCCTGATTGTTCCCCCTTAACTTGTGCAGAGGTGTTATAGAAAGCTTTGCTGATCATTTTTTACTTTACTAGGTCCTCTAGCCTCCTCCCCCGTTGCAGAAGGCTACCGCCTTCAGTCTCTTCCACAATCACATGCCCAGCTAGATTCTAGGTCCCCTCAACTTCACTCTACCTGAGCTCTCAGAGAGCTGAGGGTGTTCAGCAGCTCTGAGGACCCTGCCTTCAATACCATTCCCCTTCCCCTGTATTACGTGCGTGGAGTTGCCTCGTGACCTTAAGGACCTTTTCCAACGCAAAAAGAAGTTCTAGGCCATCTCGCGAAATTACCTTCTGCGCACAAGAATTCAGAAAACGTGCAGGAGAGCACTCTTTGAGGAAATGCAGAGTACAATGTGGCAATGCTCTGATCTTCTGGCCATCTGCCCTGGAAATGAGTAACAGGAACCTTTACCTTTCAATCAGGTCAAGGCGCAGTTGATGTCCGTAAGGCAAGGTAATCAGTTCAAGACCAGAGTTCACTCCCATACTCCTCCTCATCTCTTCAGAAACTTCTAGTATCCTCGCCACCTGTGAAGTGCAAAGATTTGTGCGTGAGTTTTGAAACTAACTGAAAACCACCCTAGCCGTGTAGAATTCCTCCGGGTTAGTGCAGGGCATATAGAGCTAAGGGCACTGCGTGCAACATTAGAATACAGTGAGCTGAGAAAAAATTAATTAACTTACGCACATTCAGTGCCTTACACAAAAAGACCAATAGAATATTTTTTTTTCATGATTCAGCCATCAGAAAACACGTAACAGGTGTGACCAAAATGCTCTATCAAACTTCCATCCTCCACTTCCAGAAGGAGATTCACAGGCAAGCTCCAGGAAATGCAGTGCTCTCGGCCTGATCCTTGCCAGGGTGGCACCATTCGAGATGCACACGTTTGCTTTGTCTTCGTCATGTCTAAGACAACGACTGCTCAGAACGTGTTTGGATCGCACCACGGGGTCCTCACGAGGATTAATCAGCAAAAGGACTTTAAGGAGGACACTAAACATTGAGTGCCTAATGAGGTTAGTACGTGGAAGGTGACACCTCACTGATTTGGCTTTGCTTTTTAAAGACACGGTATTAGCTGCTGGTTATATCAATAACAATTATATATGCTAATTATAAGCAAAACCACACTAATACGATAATGTGAGATTATCTGCTGGTTTAAGGCCTGTATGTTGACACGTTTACAAACCAACCTGCCTGATGTTTTCTGATACGCCCATCACAGGCTTTCTTGGTTACGACAAGATGAAAGCAACCTGGGCCCCACCACAAGCCTCACTGGTACGAAACGGAGCACTGTAGAGAAATCTGTTCGCTGCGAGAGACGCAGGAGAGATACAAAGCCCCTGGGGACAGACTGACTGCTGCTCCTCCGTCACAAATAGCCCTCTCAGGGGTGCAAGTGGCAGGCAATCACTCCATCGCTTCTTTCCTCATTAGAAAGGTCATTATTTAAAGGCAAACTGAGCTACTGATGCCACAGGAGAAGACCTGCCAACTTCCACCTTATCACCAGTCTGGGTACAAAGCATTTATTCTGGCCCAGTTCGCATGCCAATCTCCTTGTATCACGCAGTTCTTATCAGTGCAGTAGTACGCAACAAGTTACCACTGAATGACAGGCAGTGGCTCCCAGCACTGCAACAGAGTTCTCTAGGTGTCCCGGCTAGTTACTGTTCCTGCTCCAAGCCCCCAAAAATCTGTTTCTGTAAAACACTCCGGTCACTCTTAATTCTGCTGGCTCCCACACTTCCAGTAGGCCAGTTTCCTTGGCCCCACTCGAAAGTTTATAGAATTTAAAATAAGGAGACTAATACTGAGCTAATTGACTATAATACATATATATTAAACTCCTTACTACCTCTCTAAGGCATGCTTATCCTGTGCCTTCAAGCAACATACTCTTTACCAATGTATTAAAAGACATTCTGGTTATTGATAGTAGGTTGAAGCAGGAAAAGGTGAATTTTGGAACTAAAATGTTAGAGAATGCTGTCACTACTCTTGGAACCATAGTAAAGAAGCCGCCATCTGTCCCTTCTGAGAAGTCCAAGCAGTTGTGGAGCGGAGTTTTTCTGAGTCCCCGAGTCTGCATGAAGTCTCACTTAGCAGCAGCCAACACTGCGACTGGGGAGAGAAGCTGTTTGCCGTTGGCAGGAGCCCAGCAGCTGGCAGGCACTCACACACACTCATCCCACTGCTGCTCCAGTAACTGCCCCCTTCCCAGCCCTGGTGTGGATCCGTGCAGCAGCACTAGCCGAGCGCTACAGACACCTTTCTTCCGGAGCACCACCCTTCCCACTTCCTTTCTTGTCTGCAGGGGAGCTGCCCAGTAAGGAGCCACGTGTGTTGCTTCTCAAGCTGCTCCTAATAAAACCCAACCAACCAACCAAGCCCATGACAGTCGGTTCCTGCAGCCGCTCTCTGGCAGGTAGAGCGCTCAGTCGTCCCAGCAAAGTGGTGCAGATTCAACTGCAGTTGCATTTCTTTTAGTACACAAAATCATCTCCTAAGTAGATGACTTCTGTCT